CACCATTTTAATTGCTTTGAAGTCTCGAAATCTGCCTGTCACGCACTGGAAATCTGTTCCCCTGGAGGATATATACTCCATTAGGTCACTCCAGTGTACCATTACCAACGCGACACCACATGAAAAAATATTTACAAATAATTGGAGGTCAACCGTTGGAACCAGTCTCCCTATGTGGCTAGTTTCTTCTGGTCGAGTCCTGTTGAAGAAGAGTAGCCAGCAACCTAAATATGATCCACTCTGTGCGAAGGTTGACCTGCTCCAGTATACTCACATACCATTCGCTGATGGCAGAAAAAAAAACAGTATCCTTTCGACCGTTTCCTCCTAGAGGTGAAAAAGCATCTTCGTGATCATCAGCATGAGATCGGTACACCCTTAATCGAAAATTTCTTTCTACTTTCGCTTGATCAACAAACCACTACCGAAACAGAAGAACAACGGCAGTTGTACTCACAACCAAGATGTTACAACACTTAATAGTGCCCATAGTGAAGACGAGACTGATAAGCATAATCTAGAGACATTGGTAAAACAACAACAACAACAACAACAACAACAACAACAACAACAACAACGACGACGCATTCATCCATTCTGCCTTCGGAACAGAGACGTTTAGAATTTGTCACGTGCAAACCCTCAATTAGATTTCATAACGTTATGTTCCTTTCTGTTGGCTGAGGAGCATGCCATGCTAACATTAACCTGACCCTTTTCCACATGTTTTTCCTTTTTAATTGTAATACGCCAATTGTAAGATGAATAAAGCCCAATTCTAGGGTACTCATAAATTCGGACTTCTCGTTTGTATGACTCATACTTACTTAATCGAGCGGTTCTAACTATTCCGATTACGACAGGTATGACGCGGTAATACACTCTGGTATCGAGCGATCAAAAATAGCTAAGATTTTGCAGCTGCCTCCTGTTACTGGAAAGCAACATGTTTATCTCTCATATGGCAAATAACCTGTCGGATTCTCCCGCCAGAGGTAGCTAACAATTTTCGGTCCACAGATTCTTTTCACTTTACGGAATTTTGAATCAAATATAGTTAACGCAAAACTCGATTAATTTCTTCAAGTCAGTAGGTGTAAAACTTATTCCTTTGCAAGATGTTTAAAGGAAAGTTACTGATCCCGTGAACTTATTGTGGCAACTTGTAACATAGGACGAACATGCTATACGGGAGTTCGAAACAGTCGTAGTTTGTGTCCACTTGCTAGCATGCACTTCTTTTGCATTGACACGTTTTTTTCTGTGTGCAATATATCCTTGGTGAATATATTTTTTATAGCTTTTTTATACCCTTCTTATTGCATTTTTTGTAAGTTCAAATTTTATCAAAGGATAAGGTAAATAATTAAAGTTTTACACGATATCCACTTCTACTATGGGGACAGGTCAGCTTTCAACTTCTCAATTTCCGCTTCTTCACACGTGAGGTAGC